AGTGAACGTCTTTGTGCTGTGTTTGCACAGAAAGTTTTGCCCACTCTTGCCGGGCTTGTCTATAGAGACTGTTACGCAAATAAATCTCACATTACAACATGGCAGGATATCCTTCAGTGCCCTTTCTTTAGCATAAATACAGTGTGGCTGGAAAAAAAAACTTGGTTTACATAGGGTTGATAAATGAGGTGGTACATGTTATGGCTTTTCAATGCCTGAAGGAAGACATTTATGCTTATGACACTGCAGCCTGGCCGACACACTGTGAGCTACAGTATGAGCAGTTTTTAGTGTGTAAACATACATACATACATTACAACACGCGGGATAGAGCATTGATTTGATTGCTTCCCCGGATTTGACTAATCCTTACCAATAAAAAAATCTAAAGTATAACCTATTTTCCATACATGAACAGTATGATCTTAAAGTCTGAAGAAAAAATAACTTAACAAAAAAGACTTAAACCCTCACTATGCAGCTGGAGTAACCGATCCCCGCCAGCTTTGGGGAGATGTGCTTCCAAACGCCGATGCTGCCCTGGCGAATGCTTTGGCCGGCTGCCAACTCCATAAAAAAGAGTGGAACTCCCACAATCAGTAAAAGAAAAACATACAGCAGCATGAAGGCCCCTGGAACGAAAAGGAAGATGTTAAAAGGATGAAGGCATATTCCTTAATACTCTTTCCTTATCATGTATTTTTATTGAAACAAAATGCTCATTTAAAATAAGTCTCGGCTACTGGTTCTGGAGAGCTACGGTCATGAGGAAAAACAAAGAGTTGGAAAGTACACTCTTTTTTAAAGGGGCCTCATTATAATAATCTTCAGGTTCATATTGTTGTTTTGCCACTACTGTGACATGTTTACATGCTTTAATGTCCAAACATTTCTTTATTTTTCTCATACTATTGATTTGTTAGCTGGCCGGCTCTGGTCAACATCTTAGAATCTTAGAAATGTCCCGCCTCTTAGCCAATCATGTACAATGTGTTGGAGCAATAGTTAATAGAAGCGCAAGTGTTACAAAATGATATCATTATGTTACTGAAGTAAACAAAGGAGTGTGTGGGAGAGAACTCTTTGTCATTTTAGCCTTTGCAGACATTTACATGCACAAAGACACTCACCTCCGCCATTTTGGTGGCAAAGGTAGGGGAACCTCCACACATTCCCGAGGCCCACGCTGAACCCCACCTGGGCCAACACATACTGGACCTTGGAGTCCCACGCTGGCCGGTCTGCGTTGCTCGTCTCTGCTCCGTCCAGACCGGGCACAGCTGTGAGCTGAGTCTCAGACTGACCCTCGCCCAGCCACGCTCGCTCCTCCAGGCTGTCCAGAGGAGGTTTCTCCGTCTTGAAAGAAACAAAGAAGAAGAAGAATGATTAACTGTGATAATAAAAGCTGCACAATTTAGAAAAAAATGAACATTTTCTCATTATTTTGACTAATGTTTAGATTGGAAAACATAATTTTTTTAACTTTACTCACATAACCATTGAAAAATATTAAACCCAAAGAATATTATAAAGTAAGAATCTAAGTTCTGCATTGCAACACTGGAACCACAGCAGTCTATAATACAACTTAAGATATAGTGTTGGGGGGATTGATTAAAGACCACTGAGAGTTCGGCGAGGGAACAAGAACTCATGTGGTTTCCACCTATGACCTGTAATGTGAAGACACATGTGTAAGACATAACTCAATTCATAAATAAACAAAACGGATATGCCTTCCATCTGTGCACAAACTTATCTGGTGCCCTCATTGGTCATGTGCGCGTTCGTCTGTGTTGGAGGAGGGGCTCTGTAACCTTAAGTACCCACTCTTACTAACTCATTCCGCTCCAATGACGGGACAACATCCAAAACGACTTGAGGTTTGCCAAACTGGCTTTAGAGCATGACCTAGCTGTACCAGTGCTGGTATCAGATGGTGAGAATGGAAAATTACAGGAGGGTTTGACCCAGAACAGTATGTGGCAGGTCAGAACTCATGGTGTCAGACATATATAGATATACATTGATATATATATATAAACACATTCATAGAGCGTGAGTGTGGGAGTGTGACCAAAATATGCCAGCAAGCACAAATAGAGAGGAGTGGAAGAACAGCAGCCGCCATGCAGATCCCTGTCTGACGGAGAGATAGTCTGTCGTTTTAGTTCAAGTGGGTGGGGTACTCCAGTGGGAGGTGTTGGGCTTACATTGGTTCACACTGTGGGTGGTGCTGAGGCGCACGGGTGCACCATGTGGTTGACATAGTTGGTGACAAGGCTAAGATACAATTTAAGGACCCATTTATAAAAAACCAAAGCAGGCTTTTGTTTGTAGTTTGGTGCCATAGTTTTAATTAAGGTTATGGTCCGTTTAATTTACTGCGGTGTATGCCCTTAGCACATGGGACAGCGTTGTGGTTGTCTGGCAAAAGCTGTCATAAATCAAATTTGTATCCAGTTTCACGTCCTTGCTCTGATTTATGAATCCCTACTGGTAGAAAACATATTTTGTGTTATTTTTTGGCTCTTACTTCCCTTGGTTATCGACTGTAAATCAGATAAAGCAAGTCTTTTGAAGATGTCATTCTTTCATATTTACAGACTTTGTTTACTAAACTATTCATAAATGAAAACAATTGCTAGTTGTAGCCGTAGTTAACTCTGGATTTAGTTAACCTTGAGCAGTGATTGAAAAAGGTTAAATGAATCTAAATAAGTATAACCATGTAGTGAAATGATAAAGTCAGGCTATCAGGAGTGTGAGTAACCTTGGTGGTTTAGATAATTCCTTTCAAAGAAAACAACAAGCACTCCAAAACAGACTTATCACCAAAGTAATCATTGCATACATTTTTGCATAAATGCAGATAAAGGTAATTAGTTTTATTTAAGTGTACCTCATATTCTCCTCAAGCTCCATTAACTACACAGCAACCCTGTATCAGATCGCATTGTCATTTGTTAAACCAATTTACAATTATTTTAAATAGAGACATTGCAATTTCCTGTTTATGCCAGCTTTTTCTAAATCGATAAAGACTTTACTATAATTTTTGTGTTGTGGAAAGGTGGAAAAATGCTGCATGCTTCTTTCTCTTCGCTATTTTTGGCTAACCATTAATTATCTTGTTGCCCCTTTCCCCAAGCACACTTGACACACACACACACACAGATTGTAAATGTTCGGTCAGCTAGGGTCTATCTCTGGGTACAGTTGGAGAAAAGGCAACCACACTGTCTGTCCCCAGTGAACAGTGTGAAGGCCCGCATAGCTAATCTCTAAAAACACCTTTGTTTTTTAATATTTAGCAAACTGAAACCATTTAAGAAATTGTTGGCGATTTTCCCAAATATTCACATGTAGAGGACTAATACAATGCAAGGCAGTTTTTTTAAACACAGCTAAACCTCAAACATGACCACAGAGTTCATTAGAAACACCTCTGCTCACAGTCTCACAATGTATACATGACTAAATGGTAGAAAAAGATACATATGACTGAACATTTATACTATCCAGAAACAGAGAATAGTGGAGCGAAGTTTTCGTCACACATGTTCAGTATGAGAATTTATGAAACATTGTGTTTATTTTTATTATGAGGATCAATGCTTTAAACAGTTCAAGTGTGTTTCAGTTTGCACACACCAGCCCTCTACAAACAGCTAGAATAAAGACCTTTTCATTCCTGCAATTTGACATGTGGACGTCATGTTTGAAAAGGAGCAAGTGAAGTTATGTCAAATCTGTTTTTGGCAATCTGCCAGCTCAGGACCTAGAAAGGCTTAAGAATAAAGCAAACAACTCTCAAAGTCACCAGATCGCCCTGCCGTTCACACTTTACAACTTGCTGTCTTATATATGAGTCTCAATGTCATTTTGGTATTCACACAACATGACTGACTGTCAACAGGCACACTACTAAATTAAACCATCCCACTCGGGCCATCAGGTAACTTGTCACTAACTTAAATTAGATCTATTGCAGTGCTTATGTTGGCTGTGTTTCAACACATGAGCAACCACGCATTACAAAAATAATGGTCATGTGGATAACATGCAAATGATTTAAAGAGACAGAATAACAATTTAAATGCCATTTAAAAAAGCTACAGTATATTATCAACTGCCATTTATTTATCTAAAAGTGAGAGGGCCAACACCCCCCAAACAACACACACACACACACACACACACACACACACACACACACACACACACACACACACACACACACACACACACACACGATGATTAAAGGGTTAGTGCTTCCTTTCAGCTTCACTTTAAGGGTGTTTACATCTGCATTAGAACAACGTGTAGGAGTGTTGTCAGTGCTACAGTCACTTGATGATGAAACTTATGGTAAAATCACCATAAACCTACAAAAAAAGTTATACAAAACACTTAGTTTGTACGGCTTTACAGTATATAGTTTATCCACATCTAATTTTAAATGCACACTACATTAGCTTTCTTGTACACAGTAAAAGCTGTCGTGGGTTTAAAAACATATCTGTGGCTATATGCAGCCAGTACATTCCTGTAAACAAATGCACGGAAAATCAGCTGCATGACAGAGATTATCCAAAGTGAGGCAAAACACAGCCTTAAAGCCTATATTCATGACTGGTTAAGTCACTGACGAAGAGTCAAGTAACGGAAAATCAAACAGCAAACGTGCAACATGTTCAACAATAAAAAAAAGAGCGTCAAGTAAAATAAATAATAAAATGGAAATTAAACATTGGAGCTCATAAAGTTATCAACGTGTTGAATCAGAACTTCGATGTGTTGTGGACATACCATGCTGACAGCCCGCTCCAAGACTGGAATAAAGTTTCCAGAAATCCTGTCTGCGTTTCTGCTCGGCTCTTTCTCTCACAAGCCTACTTTTAAAACTCTTCCTCTGTTTGGTTTTGCAGCAAAATATATAAAGTGCTGTGAGGAGGAACGCCTCGAGAAGGACGTTTTGAAAACTTGCGGCCACGTTTCTGTGAACTGGAACACATTCTGTCGTCGCCAGCCCCGAGAAGACATGCAGGAGAAGTCTGTGCAAATGGGGCCAATGGGAGGTGTGGGGGGGGCGAGCTGCCCTTCAACGAGGTCTGTAACTAAGTGAGAGAATGCTGTTGGTGTAGCCTGTGGGTTTAAGAAAAAACACCTCTGAAGAAAGATGGGTGCCCTGACTGTGGATAAAGTCACTATACTGCTGTATACTTCATTTTCATAGGACATTTAAAAAGCCTCCGATTATAATTGCGCGTGTATTCATGCAATTAGGGTACATGCGCTGACGGTAAATTGGGGTGGCCCATAATAAGCGCACAATTCAATTCCACTGTCCAAAATAACTAATCAGATTATAGGCTATTCTGTGTGGCAAAACAAAGGAGGAACTCAATATACGTAGTTGATGATGATGGTTATTTATATTTTTAAATAACCTAATTCTATTTTTTTTTATGTAAATGTCTTATTTATTAAGTAACCCAGCTGTCCAACAAATGCAGTGAAGTCATATAGATGCTCTTTGCTAAGTCATCATCTCCTACTCATTGAACTCATTCATGTCAAAAACAGAGTAATCCTCAAAGCTGAAGGACTAGTCTAAGTTGTACTACAATTACAATTATACTGGCTAAGAAAAGCACAACTATGCTAATTTATTGTGAGAGACTGACTAGCATACAAAGCAAGCCTCTGTAGTCCCACATCTGATCCAAAACATTTTTTATTTTTATTTATATAGCCCAATATCACAAATGTTACATTTGTCTCAGTGGTCTTCACAGTTTGTACAGAATATCAGTATGACAACATGACACCCTCTGTCCTTAGACCCTCACATCGTACAAGGAAAAACTTCCAGAGAAAACCCCACAGTTTAAAGGGGAACATGGGAGAAACCTCAGGGAGAGCAACAGAGGAGGGATCCCTCTCTTAGGACGGACAGACGTGCAATAAATGCCGTGTGTAAATTGAAAAGATAATACATTTACAACATAGGTAGACCAAATGTTTGGAAATGCATGTGTCTATAATAAGAAGATGAATCCACGAGGATGTCAGCAATCTTGTGGGAGCCATCAGGGAAGTAGTATGGTGAGAGTCAGGCAGGACCGCAGAGACAGGTTCAGCCACGACTCAGATCCAGTGCTCAGGATAGAGGATCCAGGACACACGACCACAGCAACAGGATTAGCCTCGACTCAGGATCCCGGTGTATATATGGACACAAAAAAAAGATTTGGGGGAAGCTGGGTTAATCGGAACATGAGAGTACACAGGTATAGACAGAGAGAAGGAAGAAGTAAGATGTCCCCCGACAAACTAAGCCTATATCAGCAAAACTAGGGGCTGAATCTAATCAGCCCTAACTATAAGCTTTATCAAAAAGGAAGGTCTTAAGCGCACTCTTAAAAACGGATAGGGTGTCTGCCGCCCGAACACAAACTGGAAGCTGATTCCACAAATGTGGAGCTTGATAAGAAAAGGCTCTGGCTCCCATTGTACTTTTAGAGACTCTAGGAACAACCAACAACCGTGCATTCTTGGAACGCAATGCCCTAGTAGGACAGTAGGGTATAATGAGTTCTTTAAGGTAAGATGGCGCCTGCCCATTAAGGGCTTTGTAGGCGAGAAGAATCATTTTAAATTCTATCCTGTGTTCTATAGGGAGCCAGTGTAAGGCACCCAGAACAGGAGTAATGTGGTCCCTTTTCCTAACTCTGGTTAGTACACGAGCTGCAGCATTTTGAATCAGCTGAAGCGACCTAACTGACTTCTTGGTACACCCAGATAATAAGGAGTTACAATAATCCAGCCTAGAAGTAACAAATGCATGGACAAGTTTCTCTGCATCGTTTTGAGGCAAGATATGCCTGATTTTTGCAATGTTACGTAGATGGAAGTAGGCGGTCCTTGAAATTGATTTTATGTGGGCGTTAAAGGATAAATCCTGATCAAATATAACACCAAGATTCCTTACAGTCTCACTGGAGGCCAAATTAATGCCATCCATAGTTAGTATATCTTTAGATAATTTGTTTCGTAGATTCTTTGGGCCGAGTACAATAACTTCAGTTTTGGTCGTGTTTAACATCAAAAAATTTAAGGTCATCACTTTTTTAAGTCCTTGAGGCAGTCTTGAATTTTATTTAGGTGATTGGTTTCATCAGGCTTGATTGATAAATATAGTTGAGTATCATCCGCATAACAATGAAAGTTTACAGAATGATTCCTTATAATATTGCCTAACGGAAGCATATATAGTGTGAACGAAATAGGTCCAAGCACTGAGCCCTGTGGCACTCCATGGCTAACTTTGGTTTGCATGTAAGATTCATCGTTGACACACACAAACTGAGAGCGTTCAGACAAATAGGACCTAAACCAGCCTAAAGAAGTTCCCTGTATGCCAACTAAGTGCTCTAGTCTTAGCAATAGGATATCATGGTCGATAGTATCAAATGCAGCACTAAGATCGAGCAAAACAAGAATAGAGACAAGTCCTTTGTCTGAGGCTATTAGAATGTCATTTGTGACTTTAACCAGAGCTGTCTCTGTGCTATGATGTGTTCTAAAGCCAGACTGAAAATCTTAAAATAAATCGTTGTTTTTTAAGTAATCACACAGCTGTTTTGCGACTGCTTTCTCAAGAATTTTTGAGAGGAATGGGAGATTAGAAATAGGTCTATAATTGGCTAAAACCTCTGGATCGAGGTTGTGCTTTTTAAGAAGAGGTTTTATCACTGCTACTTTAAATGATTGTGGAACATAGCCCTTAACACTTGCTCCCAAAAATGAATAAATTGAGGAACCCACAGTTTGCTTGAATCAAAGCTAATAGTTTCTGTTATATGGAGTGCAGACCAGATTTGTCACATGCACCATTCAAGTTTATTTAACCGTATTCCCTGGGGCTAACTTAAATCAGAGTGGATTTGGAGGATAAACAGTATAAATCTCTAACATGAGTCCTGTGTTGTTTATTTTTTCCTATTTTTGGAAAATGGAGGGCATACATGTTATGCAGCAAGATGAAAAAGGTAACTTGTGATGAGGAAAATGTTTTGAAAAGGGCACCTGTCACCAAAATAAGAAAAAAGGCAGACATTTGATCATCCATTTTGATCAACTGAAAAGCCCCTGGGCTGAGTGAGAGACAACTTTTGTTATCATAATTGAAAAAAATGACTCTAAACAAGGTTAAAGTCAACATAGAAAAGTCAGCTGCAAATAAATGTTATTTTGTTCTTGAGTAATTCCAAGGCACAC